TACCAAACTTTTTAAAATTTTTTCACATTTTATTTTTGAGAGAGAGAGCACAAGCGGGGGAGAGGCAGAGAAAGAGGGAGACACAGAATCTGAAGCAGGCTCCAGGCCCTGAGCTGTCAGCACAGAGCCCAGCGCGGGGCTCGAACTCACGAACTGTGAGATCATGACCCGAGCCGAGGTCAGACGCTCAACCAACGGAGCCCCCCAGGGACCCCTCCACCAAACTTTTGAATCCATCCTAAGTAAGTTATGTTGCCCTCTGTTTTTCCTTCATTCCTTCTTGGAAATTTCCAACCCCCAAATGAACCTGTTCTCCCACTTCTTCTTGCCCACACTTGGGCACTGAGCACTGTTGGAGGAACCCATACAGCGGCCGGATGGGTGCAATTAGATTGTGGTCACGTCACTTGTATCTGGCAAAGCTGGAGAGATTTCTCAGAAAGCTCACTTTTACTCTCTTCCTAAACCTCTGATCTTTTCCATCTGTCTCACTTTGAGCTAATGAAATTCTCAATTTATTGAGAAATCGGAGCCTTTGAGTTGCCTTGACTTCATCTTAGCGCATCTCTTCCTTCTCTGTTCTTACAGTTAGAGTGGAGGAAGGATTCTCCCTCCCTCCTGAGACCAAACTGTGCCTGTACCCGGATCTCACCCTTGCATGCTTTCTCAGGTGCCTTGAGATATCAGTTATTGCCTCTCTGTTGGGCATCTTCAAGCTCCCCTTCTCCGTGGGGTCCTCTCCATAAGCCTTCTCCATATTAAGAAATCCTGCCTTGGCCCCCAAGTGCCTTCCAGCCACCTTCCTCTCTCGCCTTCACAGTCAAGCTCCTTGGAGGAGTCTCTCTCTCTTCACTCATTGTCTCCTCTGTCCTCTCCTATTTACCCTCCACCTACTCCACCTGACTCCTGCACCACTACTCCACAAACATTTAATCACCAAGGTCAAGGTCACAAAATCCAGAGCTTTCTTGTCAATCTTCGTGTGACCTGCTCCACCGGTCCATTCAGCAGAAGGGAACACGCTTGGCTTCCACAGCACCATTTTCTGCCAGTTTTCTTCCTGCCTCGCGGGCCCCTCCTTGAAGTTTGTTTTACCAGCTCTGCTCACCTACTCCCCCAGACATTAAATGTTGGTTCTGTGTCTTCTTCTCTTCTCATTACATGCTGCCAAATGCCTTCCTTCGATCATAGGGCACACCTAACTGTTTCTGCTGAGCACCAGATACGACTCTCCAGCGGCCTGCTCAAGTGCCTGAGCCTTTCTCTAAACGTGGTCATCTAAAACTGAGCTCATAAGCCTTCTCCACACCTGGTCATCCTCCTGTATCCTTCAGTTCAGTGAATGGCACTAATTCTACCCACTTGCCCTTGATCAAAGGCCTGGAATCACCTTGGACACTTCCCTTTTATTTCCACATCCAACCAACTACTGTTGGATGCCCCAGTGACGCTGTTATTTAGTTATTTCTTGATAACTTTTAGTTATTTCTTCTTTCCACCATGGCAGCAATGACTCTAGTCTTTGCGTGGACTACAGCATAATCCTGTAACCTAGCTTTTCTGTACCCAATCTTGAACCTGACCTCAGTCTTCCACCAGCAGTCAGACCTTTCAAAAAAGCACATCTGGTTCTGTCACATTCCTGCTTTAAGCCCTTCATTACAGCAATTCTGTTGCTCTTAGAATTAACTTGAAACTTCTGATATGGCCCACAAGGCCATGCATAAAGTGACCTCTGTCTTTCTCTTCTGTTTCGTTTCACTTCAGTCTCTTGTTTTTCACACTCCAGGTTCTTTGGACCCTTTCTGATGCCCAGGCATGCCAGTCTTCTTTCTTCTTGCCTGGGTCTTTGCCCATTTGGGTCCTCCTGCCTGTCATGCACGTATTCCAAGACCTCCGGTCCAATCTTCAGACCCAGGCCTGTCAGGTCCTCTCAGTAGGTCCTGCCCTACACTAGGCCCAGTTATACACCCTCACTGAAGCCCTCAGCAGCAACAGAACAATCACCTCAGTCGTTATGTTGTGTTCATGTCCCTCACTCAGCTAAAGGCTTGGCAGAGATGGTGTCTGTTTATTCATCAGTGTTTTCCTAGGACCCAGCACAGCGCCCAGTACACACAGACCCTCCATCAGTGTCTGAGTGTGAGTATGGTGCTGGGCACTGAGCACAGAGTGGGTCAGAAGTCAGGCCCCTGGACTCATGAGAACTGTGACTCCAGGAACAAGGTCATGGAACTTGAGAGACGAAAGGACCTTAGTAACCTTAGTAGCCATTATGCTTCAGTGCCTTCTTCTTAACAAATGAAGAAACTGAGCATCCTAGAAGGTAGATGGCTGGTCCGGAGTGACAGAAGGTGAGGGTCAGTGTGAGCCTTAGACCCTGGCCTCTTGGTCCCCAACACAGAGCTGTGGTTCTGCCCAGGTGCTCTGACGTGTGTCTGATGGGACACACTTACACCAAAGAGCACTCTCGTCCTCCTGGAGGTAGTGGCTTCAGGGAAGAGAGATTTGATGTTGACTTTTTTTTTCTTTAGCTTTTTGAGTACTTGACTTACAAATCTGATTTCTAAAGTTAAGACTCATCACAGGAATAGATGTTATACGCTTTCCCAGAGGGGGCACTGATTTCTTGCTAGGACTGCTTTGAATTGAAACTAATTGAAATTTCACATCGATTTCGGTTAGCTTTGTGGACATCAGAAAGGGAAAACATTACACTGGGCTGCTTTTAAAGAAGCCCCTCAATGGCCCCTCATCCTGCAAGTGGACGTTGACCACTGCCAGGGATGACCCGAGATGATGCTGTCTAGGGTTTCTTCCGGGTCTCCCCTTATGCCTGCTCCATTCGCGTTGGGGAACCCATGTGATTAGAAGGCCCACTAGATGGCAGGTTTCAGCCGTGTTACGCTTCTAATCCTTTCGCCAGTAAAAGAAACTTTTCAAAGGAGGACCGGTTGGGTAAAATAATTGCACCCTTGTGCTGATAGTTCTCTCCTTCTCTTAGACTACTCGGTGGTCAGTTTCAAGTTCTATTTTCAGCAGTCTAGAATTCAGTTTCCCAAAACACACAGATAAAAAAGGGGTGGGCATTTGTTAGTTCCTGTGCCCCTCTGGGATAAATTCACTGGTCGGCCTGAGTCTTCTCAGAGCACTGGGCACTTGAATGGCTTAGGTGGTCCTTCGGAGGCTAACAGTAATGCGCTGAAGATTCGGTATGTTTAGGTGCTGAAATGGATTCAGATTGTAATTTCAGATTTAGTCCATCCCAGATCACATAGATCTCCACTCTTTTGGGATCAGAAACGGCAAGGATATTTTTCTGAGTATATTTGTTATTATTTATTGAATGTTCTATTTCACTTTTGTTTTTAATGTCTATTTATTTTTGAGAGGGAGAGAGAGAGAGAGAGAGAGAGAGGCAGAGAGGGAGACAGTATCTGAAGTAGGCTGCAGGCTCTGAGCTGTCAGCATAGAGCCCGACGCAGAGCTTGAACTAACGAACCATGAGACCATGACCTGAGCTGAAGTCTGAGGGTTAACCTACCAAGTCACCCAGGTGCCCTGGAATGTTCTGTTTCATGATTCCTCTGCCCATCACCCCTCTTGCTTTCCCACTGTTTGTCCATCTTTCCAGGGCAACCCTCCCTTAATTTTGTTTGTTCTTCTTTTCCCTCAATAATAATAATAAATAATATTTATTTTTATTATTTATTCTATAATATATATTTATATGTATGTAATATATAATATATTTATTATTATTTATTATGATGATGATTATGATTATTGTTTTAGCATCTGTGATGTTCATGGTCCTGTGCTAGGCAGATGCTGGAGATACAATGATGACCAGGATAGACACAACGTCTGCACTGTAGAGCTTTTAATCCTAGGGAAAGACACTATTAAACAAGCAAATAAAAAAATTTTTTTTAACATTTATTCCTTTTTTGAGAGACAGAGACCAGTGTGAATGGGGGAGGGGCAGAGAGAGAGGGAGACACAGAATCCAAAGCAGGCTCCAGGCTCCCAGCTGTCAGCACAGAGCCCAATGCAGGGCTCGAACTCACAGACCGTGAGATCATGACCTGAGCCAAAGTCGGACGCTTAACCAACTGAGCCATCCAGGTGCACCTAAGCAAGCAATTTTAATACATCACCGCGTGAGTGCCTTTTTAGTGGAAGCACAGGGTCAGAGAGGAGAAAACTCAAGGGAATACCTGAAGCCTGAGAGTTGACCAGGTGCAGAAGGGGATGGGAAAGAATGTAAGAAAATTCTGGGAGAGAACAGTAGGGGGAGCTGCCTAGAGCTGAGAGAGTATAGCGCCTGGGGCATTGAGGGTGTTGGGAAGACAGGGTGGCTCCAGGCCTGGGAGGAGAAAGAAGGTGACCAAGGAGAGATGATGCTGGAAGGTAAGCAGGAGTTGGCCCACAGAGGGCCTTGTCAGCTGTGCTGAGGCACTTAGAGTGAAATGGAAGGGCCTGGCGAGTTGTTGACCTAAAGCCTTCACTAATCGATACACAGAGAAAGTACAGAGGGTTCTGAGCACTACAGTGTGAGGGTTATTACTTCTCACTGCATTTGGGAGAAAGACAAGGTCAGTTCCCAGTCACAGGTGTACCCGCTCTTCCTCCATGCACCTCGCCCATTCTCCACAAACTGAGGTCTACAGACATTCTTGGACCTAATGTTTCTTTGCAAATTAAAAAAAAAAATGCTTTTATTCTATTGATAATATAAAAAACGTTAATATAAGAATATTTTGGATCGGGGCGCCTGGATGGCGCAGTCGGTTGAGCGTCCGACTTCAGCCAGGTCACGATCTCGCGGTCCGGGAGTTTGAGCCCCGCGTCAGGCTCTGGGCTGATGGCTCAGAGCCTGGAGCCTGTTTCCGATTCTGTGTCTCCCTCTCTCTCTGCCCCTCCCCCGTTCATGTTCTGTCTCTCTCTGTCCCAAAAATAAATAAACATTGAAAAAAAAATTTTTTTAAAAGAATATTTTGGATCATCTGATCATCCTCTATTGGGCAGTCAAATAATCCACTTCCATCTTCTCTGGAAACATTTATAATAGACTTTCAGAGTTTAGAGCAGGGGGAATCTTGGCACAGTGGTGAGCCAGGGAAGAAAATAAGAAACTTAAGATAGGGGGCCCAGATGATGGTTTAAATTATAAATCGATGTTGGGTAAGAACAGGCAGATGTTGTAGATTAAAGCTGGCTTGTTAACATTGTCACAGCCGTGAAAACAAGCTGGGCTGATCTGATCATAAAAAAACCCTGACCCTCCTAGAAAATCAGGGCCCAGGCATTGTCTTTCAGGACGTTTCTGTGTGTCTGGTCGGATGTTAGCATTTTCCAGTCAAGAACTTGAAGTTCGGAGGAGTGGGTGGGGCACAGGCGATCTCTTTGGTGGCTGGTTCCTATGAAAACAATAAATAGCTTCCAGAGAGAGGGGAGGGCATCTGTGTTCTTACGGGGCTCACTCCACCCACCGACAACACAAAGGGAGGGTGGCCGAAGAAGCAGACAGCTGGCTCCCGGCCAACCTAATCCTTTACAGCCTCATGAAGGAGTGTGGTCTGGAGGACCTTTTAAAAGGAGAGAAGGATGTTAAGAAGTGTTGATAAACAGAAGAATCCCACTGTTGAGAAAGAATCGGCACAGATTTTGGTAAATATTGTGAATCATATTGTGGTGTTGTACTGAGCCAGATGTCTTTTTTTCCCCCTTTGGTTTATTTTCTGTCGGTCAAATAAACATAGTTGTGAAATTGACCGTCTTAACCATGTTCAGATACACAGTTCAGAGGCAGCAAGTGCTTTCATATGGCTGTGCACGTTTCTTTTTAATTCAAACTCAATTTCCTTTGAAGCTCATTTTGCCTTATTTTTGGAGCAGAACAAATGATGAGGTTTCACGAAAATTCTGGCACCCTCCTTTGGCTTTTGGACTTACCTAGGAGTGCTGTTTGGGTCCCATGTGCGGTGGGAACAGCCGAACTCCAATACTTGCCTTCAAGTGGATTTCTACCCCCAAACACAGCTGAATGAAAAGTAAATTGCTTATCCATCCCTAAAGGTACAGCTTTCTCTTCCCAGACTCAGTGGTACCGGTGCCAGGCCTTCCAACATCCCCCCAGGGATGGATGGGGCGGGGGTGGGGCAGTGGCAGGATACAAGACTTCCCCCGGGTGTACTAGATGTCCTGACAATGTTCACGTTGCAGAAAAACAGCTCTGTTCCGGTCAGGACATGGGTGGGGAAGGGCAATCATAGAAGCAGCCACAATGTGGGGCTGTCAGGATACAATGAAGTCATGCAAGTAAATCTTGAATCAGTAAAGATGAGCTATTTTTGTTCAGAAGACTGCACCCAAAGAGGTAAATCACAGGAAAACAGCCAGTTGTTTCAGGAGTGTTTTTTTTTTTTTTTAATTGTTGTAGGCATATAGCTCAGTCTTGTGCCAACTCTAGATGTCCGTGATGCAGTGGAGTGCTTACTGATAGTCAGACTCAGGGTCCTGAATACTTGAAGATCCAGGAACCTCCAGTCTACTAGGCAGGGAAATGGGTTGGCGTGCATTACACAGCTTTGTGTAAAAGGAAAAGTGAACTAGGCTTGAAGGCTAATTTATAAATAAAGCAGAACAATGTTTCTTGTTCTTGTTTAAAAAGAATTATTCACCAAAACATTTCATTGCTTGAGCCTCCTGAAGGTTGGGTTCTGTGATCCCAGATGTATTGCACAGCATTAAAATATAGTAAGAGGACAATAAAGTCGAATTAATGCATCAAACCAAAGACACTAAAGGAATATCACAGCACTATACGTGATGATAATTTTGGAGACTATTGTAAAATGGGACATTATTTATAGGATAACATTAGGTGATTGCCTGTATTTTACAAACAAAACCCTGCTTTAAAAAATATGTACACCCACCATAAAAAAAAGATGTGTATGTGTGTGAGATACGGGATTTAATGTGCAAAAATGAAAATGCTAACATAGACTCATCGTCTTCTGACAAATATTTAAATACACAAAATGTAAATAAGACCATTTTGAAAGGTATGTCGGAAGAGGAAGCAAGAAAAGAGGACTAAGGGATAAGCTATAAAATGGGAATTTTTTTTAGTGTTTATTTTATTTTTGAGAGAGAGAGAGAGAGAGACAGAGCGTGAGGGAGGGAGGGACAGAGAGAGAGGGAGACACAGAATCCGAAGCAGGCTCCAGGCTCTAAGCTGCCCGATGCGGGGCACAAACCCACGAACTGTGAGATCATGACCTGAGCTGAACCAACAGAGCCACCCAGGTGCCCCTAAAATGGGAATTTTTATGTTTGCTTGTATAACTGTATAGAATGGCACATTACAAAAACCAGCTAAACAGATTTTAGAGCTTTGTCTCTAGGTTCTGGGCTCTGCTTCCCTTCACAGGAATCTCTCCTACCATGGCAGCCGGCTGCACGTGGGCAGGGGTAAAGTCACTGCCCTAGGGAATCTACCCAGAACTTTGGCTGTCACCTCCCATCATCCTACCTTCCCAAACATTCCTTCTGTCCTGGGGCCTTGGGATTCTATTCCCTCTCCTTGTTTGACTGTGCAGACACCCTTTGTTCAGGTTGTCTTTTGGGCTTGACCTTGACTTTGCCCTGGATTCTGCCTTTCAGATCCTACTGAATAATGCCTTAATCCCAACCTCGCCCTACCTCTTAGTAGCCAGGTTCCGTCAATGCCTCACTTGCCTCAAAGGAGAGCTCATATGGCACAAGCTCACACTTGCCCCTTAGAACCTTGCTTTACTTTATGAACTTGACATGGTAGCTGGAACAAAGCAAGACGTGGGATCCCATGTACCAACCAAAACTGATATGAGAGAATATGCCCTCATACATTTGTTTACATAGGTCACTCATGAAATGGTACAAGATACGCTATCAGCTGGTGGCCGTCCTGGGGGAAGGGGCAGGGGGCCACAACCATATGTATTCAAGCAGGAGGGGTGACCAGGGCAAGTGTGTCACAGCTTGAGACTAATGGGTGTTCGGCTGAGCAGAGTGCATGTCAGACAGAATTACCGGTAGCCTAATTTATATATAAAGACAGCCCACTGTGTCAGGAAGGCATATGCGAAAACAAAACAGAAGCGGTCCAGACCACGGCAGCTTTTGAACTGGTGGAATAAATGTATATTCCGTGTACAATCACAGAGCACCTATGGACACCTGGTGGTCCAGGGTGAGTGAGTGGGGGCTGATGGGAAGGGGAAAAGACAGCTGTCAGCAAGGGCTAGAGAAGAAGATCAATTCATTGAGGGATTGATTATTTGATTGCAGGAGACTGGCCTTAAGCATAAGATGGAGAGATGGGGAAAGAAATGTGTAAAACCTCCCAAGGGCTAAGCCTGTGCCATCAGCTTCGGGAACCACTGATTCGGCCGGGACCCTACATTTTATAAATGAATAGATTCGGCCCACAGAGGTGAAGGGGTGTCTCAAGTCAGTGCAGCTTTTAGTAAAAGTAAATGCGGCTCGAGTCTAATTCCCAGAGCCCTTCTGGTTTCAAGAAGGCAGTCTGCTTCTTCAGGCTTGTTCAGATTTATCATCCAAGTGGCATTAGTGTCAGCGGGCACCTTGAAGTGTTAGCAAGGTGGGAGGTTGCGTGGATCTCTCCCTGCTGTGCGTTCCTTGCGGAGGGTGTGAATGGAGCCCAGCCTGTGGGCGCTGCATTCACTATTATAACTTGACCATAATACGCTCGCTGTGGCCGTATGCCAGCCGATTAGTAACCACAGCTTGTTTTCCTCGCAAGGCTGGTGGAGGCTGGCGCCATTGTCTTCTGCCAGCTCCTCTCCCAGGGTCTGTTCCCCCCCTGAAGATGTGGCCTTGAGGATTCAGCTGAGCAGAGCTGGGGGATCTTTTCTTCATGTTACTCAGAGAAGTGCTCATGGGCTTGCTCTCCCTAGTATAATTAGAATTGCCAGAAAGGCAGTAATGTGAATTGTTAACATGAGTGACCCCTGTCCTATGGTTGCCAAGTCTGAGAGATGGCCTGGTCAGAATCACATGACAATGGTTTTTTTATTTCTATGCGCTTCTCCACGGGGAGTGCACGTCTGCTAAGTTTCTCTGTTACCGTCACCCGTAAACCTCCTCTAAGTCACGCGTTTGGTCAGCCCTTGGTTATGTATTGGAAATAACAGACACAGGTTTCCTTTCTAGTGCACAGTGGGAAGCATGCCAAGGGATTCCGTTCCCAGCTCTGACTCTAACTGGCTGTGTGACCTCGGGTGAGTCACTTGATCTCTGTAAAATGAGGGATCCAAGCAGATGACTTCGTTTTCGTTTTTGTTTTGTTGGTGTTGTTGAAACACTTTTATTTTGATTAAATGGGAATTATTCAGGAAATAACACTGTAGTTAGGATTAGACAGATTGGTTTCATATTCTGACATGTTCTCTAACTAGCTCTGTGACCTTGAACAAGGGATTTAAGCTTTCTTTCTTTTTTTAATTTACATCTAAGTTAGTTAGCATATAGTGCAACAATGATTTCAGGAGTAGATTCCTTAATGCCCCTTATCCATTTAGCACCCCCCCACACAACCCCTCTAGCAACCCTCTGTTTGTTCTCCATATTTAAGAGTCTCTTATGTTTTGTCCCCCTCCGTTTTTATATTATTTTTGCTTCCCTTCCTTTATGTTCATCTGTTTTGTATCTTAAAGTCCTCATATGAGTGAAGTCATATGAAATTTGTCTTTCTCTGACTGAATAATTTCACTCAGGATGATACCCTCTAGTTCCATCCACAGAGTTGCAAATGGCAAGAATTCAGTCTTTTTGATTGCCGAGTAATACTCCATTGTATATATATACCACATCTTCTTTCTCCATTCATCCATCGATGGACATTTGGGCTCTTCCCATACTTTGGCTATTGTTGATAGTGCTGCTATAAACGTGGGGGTGCATGTGTCCCTTCGAAACAGCACACCTGTATCCCTTGGAGAAATACCTAGTAGTGCAATTGCTGGGTTGTAGGGTAGTTCTATTTTTAATTTTTTTAGGAACCTCCATACTGTTTTCCAGAGTGACTGCCCCAGCTTGCATGCCCACCAGCAATGCAAAAGAGATCCTTTCTCCACATCCTCGCCAACATCTGTTGTTGCCTGAGTTGTCAATGTTAGCCATTCTGACAGGCGTCAGGTGGTATCTCATTGTGGTTTTGATTTGTATTTCCCTGATGATGAGTAATGTTGAGCATTTTTTTCATGTGTCGGTTGGCCATCTGGATGTCTTCTTTGGAGAAGTGTCTATTCATGTCTTTTGCCCATTTCTTCACTGGATTATTGGTTTTTTGGGTGTTGAGTTTGGTAAGTTCTTTATAGATTTTGGATGCTAACCCTTTATCTGATATGTTGTTTGCAAATATCTTCTCCCATTCTGTCTGTTGCCTTTTAGTGTTGCTGATTGTTTCCTTCGCTGTGCAGAAGCTTTTTATTTTGATGAGATCCCAATAGTTCATGTTTGCTTTTGTTTCCCTTGCCTCCGGAGACATGTTGAGTAAGAAGTTGCTGCGGTCAAGGTCAAAGAGGTTTTTGCCTGCTTTCTCCTCGAGGATTTTGATGGCTTCCTGTCTTACATTGAGGTCTTTCATCCATTTTGAGTTTATTTTTGTGTATGGTGTAAGAAAGTGGTCTAGGTTCATTTTCCTGCATGTTACTGTCCAGTTTTCCCAGCACACTTGCTGAAGAGACTGTCTTTATTCCACTGGATATTCTTTCCTGCTTTGTCAAAGATGAGTTGGCCATACGTTTGTGGGTCCATTTCTGAATTCTCTATTCTGTTCCATTGATCTGAGTGTTCTTGTGCTAGTACCATAACTGTCTTGATGATTACAGCTTTGTAATAACAGCTCAAAGTCCGGGACTGTGATGCCTCCTGCTTTGATTTTCTTTTCCAATGTTGCTTTGGCTATTTGGGGTCTTTTCTGGTTCCATAAAAATTTAGGATTGTTTGTTCTAGCTCTGTGAAGAATGCTGGTGTTATTTTGACAGGGATCGCGTTGAATATGTAGATTGCTTTGGGCAATATTGACATTTTAACAATATTTGTTCTTCCTGTCCAGGAGCTTGGAATATTTTTCCATTTTTTGGTGTCTTCTTCAATTTCTTTCATAAGCTTTCTATAGTTTTCAATGTATAGATTTTTCACCTCTTTGTTTAGATTTATTCCTAGGTATTTTATGGTTTTTGGTGCAATTGTAAATGGAGTCAATTCCTTGATTTCTCTTTCTGTTGCTTCATTGTTCGTGTATAGGAATGCAACGGATTTCTGTGCGTTGATTTTATATCCCAAGCAGATGATTTCTAAAGTCCCTTCAAGTTCAAAAATAACTCTTAGAACTTGTACTTAATTCAAGTTAGATGGCATGGGGCCAGTGAGTATGAACCTTCAACTCCATTTCACTCACTGAATTCTCTTCTCTTCTGTACAGTCACCTATGACTCTTGTCCACATAGCATTATGCCAAGCAGAAGGCTGTGGTATAGAAAGCATAAGACAAGGTTTCTGTTTGGGAAGGGATCATTTCACTAGCAAAATATAATAGGGAGTTCAAAGTTACAAACTGCAAAGCATTATGTGATAAAGGCATTCAGTGTAGGTGTGAGAAGCTTAGATCAGTGTGTACTGGGCCATACCAATAGCATCTAACATTTGTGAGCGATTATGCTGTGCTAGCATCCTTCTGGTACCTTGTACATTTACAAATTTAATTCTCATAACCCTAGAGACTGTTATTATCTCCATGTCTCAGATGAGGAAACTGAGTACGGCAAGATTAGATAACTTGTTCATGGTCACTGAACTGTTGTTGGGTAACTGGGGAGATGGCGGGGGTTGAGGCTTGACCCAGCCAGACCCAGACAAGTGCCAAAGCTTCTTGGTCTTGTCACAAGAGTGAATTCAAGGACAGACATGTAGCATAGCGGTTGAATAACACAAATGGGAAAATTTATTAAAGTGAAAAGCACGCTCAAGATATGAGAGCAGGCCAGCTCAAGAGAGAGAGCACTGCGCCCCCAGGGTTTGGGTTTCTATCTTTTATCAGCAGTTGTTAACTAGGGGGCAAAATATTTATTACTTGGAGCTGGGAAGCAGGATTTTTGCTTCCTCCTAATTTTCTTCCTAATTTGGTTGGGCGTTTTCTGTCATGGCATCTGCCATCTTGGGCCTTTCTGGTTCCATCTGGCTTCTTGTGGAGTGCTGTGAGGACAGGCCTCTGACCTTGTGGATAGATGACCATGATTTCCTCTTTGCTGACCTGCAGGTATCCTGTTGAAGCCTAACTGTCTAACCTAACAGAGCCAGTAGTAAGTGGTGGAGACAGGAGTTGAACAAAGGAATATGACTCCTGAATGCATGCTCTTAACCAACTATTAAAGAACAAAACTTCAGGCAGCCTTTTATAGGCAGAAATGGGATGGGACAAGGAAGTTATTAGCAAAAGAAAAGAAAGTATTGTTTTAGACTAGGTCACTTTCCTCTAGGGGGAATGGCAGGAGGTCTTATCATACAGATGACCTCTCTAGTGCCTATCAGGAAATTCCAGATTCACTGGTTTAAAATTACACTCCGGAGAAGAGGCTAAAACTGCAGTTAGGTTAGGTATTAAGTCTTGGTGGGACTTAACATAAGTGACTCCATTTTGAGCCTATTGTTTCTTTTTAACATTTACCCCCTTTTGATTGAACTCAGCCTGAGAGACGTGGTAAAGATTTAAGGCACCAGCACCACTCGCAGCGACCAATTTGTAGTTCTCAAAACTTTCCTTGATCCTGTTTTTTGCTGAATCACTGTGGTATTCACAGGTCATGACTTCAGGCTCACAATTTTTTAGTCAGTCATTTTCTTCATTCCTTTTTTGACATTCCAGTTTCAGGGAGACATTTGCTTGGTAGTTAGTGACTGCAAACATGCATTTAAAGCCTCCAAGAGACTACAGTGTGTCAGAGATTCTTATAAGTGTAAGAAGGATAATTTCCAAAAATGTTTGGAGTGCACTTTGGAGTCTTGGTCCCCAAGACCCAAACCAAAGAGAGACTCCTGTAAAAGGAGTCCCCCTTTCAAGGCTTGTAGCTTGCCCAGTGACCATATTTAACTGAGTTTCAGCTTCCCTAGAAATGTTAATCTAGGTACTGCAGGTGCTGTTGGCCACAGCACAGACACCTTATTGCTCATCTGAACGATAATTATGTTACCAAGAATAACTTTGGCCAGTGGTGCCCGGGTGGTTTAGTCGGTTAAGCATCTGACTTCAGCTCAGGTCATGATCTCATGGTTCGTGAGTTTGAGCCCCACATGGGGCTCTCTGCTATCAGGGTAGAGCCCGCTTCAGATTCTCTGTCCCCCTCTCTCTCTACACTTCCCCCACTCACACTCTCTCTCTCTCAAAAATACATATACATTAAAAAAAAAAAAAAAAGAATGACTTTGGCTAGAGAGTGTAAGGATCTTTGCTGGGTCGTTAGTGTCTTGGCAATGGAATCTGAAGTGTCTCCAAGACTTAAGGAGAGGTTTCTAATCATATTCTCATTTGTACTTATTCCTAGACCAGGGGTCAATTAAGTTTTTAGTGAATATGATAGAAGAGACAGATAGAAGACAATCTCCTATCCTGAAATAAAAGGGCATCCTATGTGTTCACAAAGATGGGCTAGTAAGATCTCCTACTCATTGGGGGCAAATCTGATTTGGATAATCATGGGAATGTGGAGGTACAAATGTACTGAGATTCACATGTTCAAATGTGTCCGATTTGGTACATATTGCTAAGGTGGTCAATTGTAGTTTACAGTGACATTGGGAATAGAGAAAGTGGTCATAGGGAGGATCAGGGGATCTCCTACACCCTGACAGATTTAGCAGTCTGAAAGATTACCCTTTTAGGAGTGGCCTGGGAGATACAGATGAGGGCATTATCTTTCTAGGCCAATGTGAGAGTAAAGAAAAGAAAAAGGAGAAATGTTTCTTGTTTAGTTAAAGTATGAAGTCTTGATTGGTGTCTTGGGTGGACGTAGTCTACTTCGGTGTCAGTTACTTCTCTTCCTTGTCACTTTGATTCATAATGTCTGTACAGGGCCAATAACAGCTGGAGCCTTCTTTAGCTGTAAGATGTGAATCCGAGGCTCAGTTGCCTTCTGATTTTTCAGCAGTTTTAGTGGTCAGGAGCACTTGATAATGTCACTTTCAACAAAGCTCAAAGACTGTCTTCCTCTGCTAACACTTCCAGAATACCCAGGCATCAGGCTCTAGACTGTGCCCAACAGGATCCTCTGAATTGGGATCCAGGAATGTTTCTTTAAATGTGTTGATGATAAGCTTGAACATGACCCATTAAAGACTTACAGTAGCTGGTCATACTAGTGTGAGAGAACAAGGGACCAGAAATTATAAACCACTAGATGTTGGTCTGCTCATGACTATCTTGTATGGAGTGAGCTTATATTTCCAGAGGATGTTCTTTGAATTGTCAGCAATACCAAAGACAATGCCATAAGTCAGGGGAGTCTAGTGTTTTGGAAAGTTTAGAAACTTTAAGTTTGAGAATCCCATTAGTTCTCTTGACCTTGCCTCATGATTGAAGATTATAGAGACAGTGATACTTCCAAGAGGATTATAGAGACAATGATAATTCCAAGAAGTTTACAAGGTTTTGCTTCAGGCTGGTATGATTTGCCCAATAAAGTGGGTGCCTCGATTACTGGAGGTTGTGGAAAGTATACCCTAAGTGGAAAACACATTTTCGAATAGTTTCTTTACTATTGTGAGGGCATCAGTTTTGCAGCAGTGGAAGGCTTCAGTCCATCTGGAAAACACACCTACGATAACAACATATTGACAAGCCATACAAAGTGTCAATTGAATGAAGTCCAGTTGAAGCTACTCAGAGGGCACAAAGGCAGGAAGTCTGAAGCCTCTATGGGGAAAAATAGTTTTTCCAGGATCATGGACCTTTCAGGTCAGATAATGCTGGCAGAGTGTTGTCGTAATTTTATAGACATCTCCATACTAGTGTCGATTCATAGTTTGAGTCATCTTCTATGTACTCTGGTGAGTGAAGAAATGCAGAAACTGCAAAATGGGGCTTGCCAGGGAGCCAGGAAGTACCAAGCAACCATCTTGGGTTTCCCATAGTCCCACCTGGTCATTTATTTAACAGTTATTGTTGACCCATTTTAATTTCTTTGGTTTAGGAGCACACTGTTGGCATGTGACAAGGATATCAGGAAGGCAAAACTCAGCAATGGAGGGTCATTGTTTGCAAAGGCAGAATGGACTTGATCTACATGTGCTATACAATCTTTAGAGATTCTGTTGGTGCTGTCTTTGCATGAAAATCAGCTAGGGAACTTCCCTGATACTAAGGTTCAATCCCTTTAGCATAAGGCTCAATTTTGATGACAACGATTTCAGAAAGTAAGAAGATTATTTACTTATTGCTCATCTTTGGGGTCCTAGGGGAAATGTAAGAAAACCCCTTTGTTGCTATAACATCCCCACCTGATGAACAACCCCAAAGGCATATAGGCTCTCACTGTAAATATTAACAGTCTGTCCTTCCAATAATCAGCATGCTTGGGTAAGAACATGGAACCCTGCTTGTTGGGTGGTTTTAGCTTGTAGATTTATTTTTCCTTTTGGGTAGGTCATGTTGGTTTGTAATGCATAACCAGCTTGAAAATTCCCTTTTTCATTCCAATCTTGCAACAAACAAGATTAGACCAGAATTAGTTAGAGCTGTATCTCATAAATAAGCAGTCACAAAATGGGACATTGTTACTTGTTGTCAGTCACGGGGCTTGCCTTCATCAAGAATAGGTAGTAACCTAGCAGGATTAAGGATGTGCAACACCTAGAGTAGGTGCGAAAGCAGAGGGATCTACTTACAGAGAAATATTGAATCAATTCAGAGTTAAGACTTTGGACAGCATGTGGAGTTTGCAAATAAACATCACTTCCTGGGGTCAAATCTTCTGAGTCCTCCACTAACTTTGCAGCTGTGCCAAATAGCCTTAAGACAACAGGGATAGGCATGCAACAACTTAATTGGGTTGTGTGCCAGCATAGGCGGTAGGCCTATGTTTATCACCATATTCTTGTGAGAGCATTCCCAGGGCCTGATTATCCCTTTCCTGCCCAAATAAAGTGAAAGCTTTTGAATAGTGAGCCCCAAGGCAGGTGGTTCTTACAGTGCTTGTTTTAGCCTCATAAAAGCCTGTTCATGTTTGTCTTCTCAAGGAAGGGATTCAGCAGTGGAAATTTTAGTAAATTCATAGAGTGGAGAAGCTAATAGAGAAAAAATTAGGAACCCATAATCTGCAATAACCAGCCAGGCCCAGAAATCCATGAAGCTGTTGCTTGGCTGTGGGTCTAGGAAATGCCTGGATTAGCTTAATTCTTTTTGGAGGCAGCTGAATTCCTTCGGCACTTTGATCATGACTGAGGTAATGAACAGTGTCTGGAGAAAATTGTAATTTTTCCTTAGGGGTGTTGTATTCCTTTCAGCTAACTATTGCAGCAAGTAAATGCAATCTTTTAAGGATGCCTCTTTGGTAACTGAGCATAGCCAAAGGTCATCTCCATGTTGTAAAAGGGTCAATTTCCCAGGGAACCAAGTGGGCTTAAATTCTGGCTAAGCACTTGAGAAAATAAGAAGGGGCGTCGTGGAACACTTGAGGCATGACTGTCCAGGCATATTGTCTATTGTTCCAAATAAAGGCAAACAGATACTAGCTTTTGGCATCTACAGGGATGCGGAAAAAGATGTTACAAAGGTCTGCAATAGTGAAACTTTTTTTTTTAGTGTTTATTTATTTTTGAAGGGGAGAGAGACAGAGCATGAGCGGGAGAAGAGCAGAGAGAGAGGGAGACACAGAATCTGAAGCAGGCTCCAGGCTCTGAGCTGTCACCACAGAGCCTAATGCGGGGCTCGAACCTACAAACCGTGAGATCTTGACCTGAGCCGAAGTCGGACACTTAACCAACTGAGCCACCCAGGCGCCCTGAAAGTGAACCACTTTAACTCTGGTGGAATGTGGCAGCAGGCTGTTGGGGTTTGGAACAATTGGGAGAATACCTATTTTATTAATAGCTCTCAAATCCTGGACAAATTACCCTCCCCACCCGTTAGGATTCCTGGCTGGCAAGATCTGCCTGTTGCAGGGACTAGTACAGGGAATGATTAGCCCCTGGGTTAAGTTGTCTTCTGTGCGTGTGAGGTTTTGAATGGCCTTAGACTTTAATGGATATAGAGGTACGTTAGGGAGAGGTTTAGTTATATCCATCTGAATCTTTATAGATTCTGCACTTTTTATTCTTCTATTGTCCATATTAAAAATGGCCCACAGATTTTCGAGCACCTCAAATAAATTAGAGGACTTTTGTTGGAATTCATCCCCTTTTATATCAAGGGTAGAATGTGGAAAACGAAATTTCGGGTTGGTCAGGAAATTCTAAGGTGAGGTCTTCATTGGATATAAACCATATTAGCTGTCTTAATTTAGAAAGAAGATCTCTACCTAGCAGACTGGTTGGAATTGTATCACATAGTAAAAAGGGGTATTTTTCAGTCACAGGTCTCAGAGTCATCTGTACCGGTTGAGATAAAAGTTCTCTCTGAACTTCATGAGATACCTCCACTATGGAAACCCCTTTTTGTTGTCCTTTGAGGGATCTGTGGTCCTATCAGTGTGGGGGTTAAAGTAGAAAGCTTAGCTCCAGTATCAACTGACATTTGGCAGTTTTTGCCACTGGTTTTAATTTTAGTTTCCCCATGGCTGTTTAAGGGAATTATTAGTAATAGTTTGCTAGCAATTCCTGAGTCCCATCAACTGTGGAAGGTTTTATATGGGGACCCTCCTTTAGAAGTAGGTGTGAGGGCATTCGAGAAGAATTTGCATACGACTATTAAGGACAGTCTCTTTTTCAGTGTTCCAGTGGATCATGGTGGAGGCATCGATCTTTGGCCCAGTGTTTTGATGGACTCCTAACCGGGTGTAATGTGAGAGACCCAGGTATTGTTGTGGGTCTCTGGCCTTGGAGTTCTTGTGGCTGTCAATCTAATGGCCTGGGGGATTTTTGCTTGTAATCTTGTTCTAGGGTCCTTTCAAAATGCTTAGCTTAGATGCAAGTTCAGTCAGGCAGTGGCCTCCTGTCTTACTTGCTGCCATTTTGGAGCAGGCTGGGTGAATTTATTTATCATGTGGAACCCTGAATGGCATGGAAAAAGGACTTCTAAATGGGCTTTACAGTATGCCACAGGTTTATCTCCTTTTGTTTGCATGTCAATGGATTAGACCAATCTGTGCAGGCA